CACATTCACGATTAACTGTCAGACGATAATCAGAGCAGGGAAAGCATTTACACACCCGTTTCTACAGTCTTTGTTTTCATCTTCTTTCAAAACTCATCTCTTAAATTTCTCCCCTCCCCAACCTTTTTTTTTTTTTTTTTATCAGTATGCACACACACCAAGCCCTCACAAAATGAGGACTTTTGCAACACATTTTAAAGAGCCAGGCTGTGATGGGGGAAAGTAAAAGACACACAGCAGTAATTCTAGAGCTTCAGATTCACCTCAGTCCAGAGGAAGGCTCTCCCCCCGGCACAGCAATCTGAATTCCATACTGAGGGTCGCAGCTTTTCTTTGAATTCCCAGCTTACGTCGCTACGTGTTGCCACCTTGATGCTATTTAGACAGTTTCCTTTTAATGCTCAGACAGTGAACTGTTCTCATTTAAACAGGCTTTTATTTGACAAGAGTATGTTCCCTCAGATCTAAAGCTGCACTAACCATGCTACAATTGTATCACCTTCTACTATAATCAACCGTGTTGAAAATTTAAGCAACACACAGATATTTGCGGGGAAAAAAATGCACGGGGGAGAATTTAGGGTCACATAGCTCAGAACATTAAAAAGCAAAACTGCTCACTGCCTAACATCTAAGGAAAGAGAGCTTTGAATTCCAGCTCGCGAGTATAATTATTTTCTGTTTTAAACATTTAACTGCATGTGGCTGCTGTATCCTTGCTGAGTCTCAGAATGAAAGCTAGAAAACGGAGAGCCCTACTGTATGTTCTTCATTCCCAGCAACGTTCCTATGAGAAAACCTTATTAATGAGCTTGCAAACGAGCACCCAACAGGGAAATGTCACAAACAAGAGCGGCTAATGCCCCAGAAAATCAAATAACTGAACACTTGGCTGATTGTGGTGCCTTTCATATTTATGATAAAAATGGGGGGGCTTTAATTCACTAATTCTGAAGGGGTCAACACCTTGCTGAACAAAACAACTCATTTATTTATGTTCAGAAATCTCCAGATGATAAATTACATTGATGTTAATCACTTCAATGCATACTACACAATTAATATCTGTACTCACCAAAAAACTTAAGGATTATTAAAAGTATGACAGCATACACATCTGGCTGATTTTTCACATAATTGGGCGCAACAGTTTCTCTTCGTACCACAAATAAGGGTACTAACAAACACTGCAACATTCCATGTTCAGTTAATTAGGACTTAAGTCCACAAGACAAAAGCCATTCTGAATTGTAGCTCAAGCCTCATCTTGCAAGCAATGTGGCTGTGCTCCATTTCAGGTTACACCTCATCCTTGTTCCGGTCATACTTGTAAAGTACGATATTTAATGGCATATGATGTACTTTTCATAATTTCATTTCCTTTTCTAAAAATACTATTTGTTAAGAAGACATAGCTTCTACAGAATTCCAATCCATTATCTCTCATTTAACTCCCTTCATATCCTGATTAATATCTATTCATTTCACAGGAGGTAGAGAGAGGTTTCCATAAGCTTCATGGAGTACAACAGGTCATGGTTGGAGCAAGTGAGTATACTTAATGCTAATCCCAGCAGGCTAGATGTGCCTTCAAGGCAGGCTTATTGAAGCAGAGTAGAGCAATTCTTCATCTAAGCTCCTTGGTTGAGTTTAGGATTTCCTGGTGATAAGCTATGTGGATCAGGGAGAGTCTAAGAAATCATTTAGGGGACAAAGGACATGAAAAATAATGGTTGTATATTTATTTCAGTGATAATTAGATACAATAGACATGGCTAATGAAATTAATTTTATAGATTTTTTTACATAGGTCTAGGCTAGGTTAAAGGAATGAAGTGAGACAAAGAAAAATTCTCAATGAGGTAAAAATACAGATGACCTGTGGATATGGTAAAACTTGGGACTGTGACCCTCAAATAACAGAAGTTAGGAAAATGCTGTAGGGAAAATGGCCTCCTTAAATTATAGGCAAAGGTGGTGAAAATGTGATTTTGTTTATCTTTCCCAGGTCTATAGCTATCAAAAGATTCTTACAGGGGCCAGTCATTTGAAGAAGGCTAAGAAATACTGACTCTAAGAATTTGAGCCAATGAATCAATAAGGGGCTGATGGCTGCCTCTCACAGGGCATCCAAAACAGTTCAGCACCCATGAAGATTGGCTACAGAATCTCATGCATTCAAGTAGCTCTTTTCTGAAGACCATCAAGATAGGTGCTTTGAGAGAGACAGAGAGAGGACTCCTATGGGAGGAAAGAGCAGGGCCACCAACCCCACTGGCCAGAGACAGATTAATCTGTAGTGCACAGTGACTGAGGACCTTAGGACTCTGAGGCATGAGGCATTAGATAGATGGCTGTTGGTATTCAAGGAGAGTAAAGCTGGCAGGAAATGATGTAAAGAATTCCAATCATGTTTGAAGAAGGAATTCCTGGCTGACTTGTAAAGTTCTTGGTAGTGCTCAAGGATTGGAAGGTAGCAAATGATCAGGTGACTCATTGAGCAAACAGTACCTTCATTAAGATGCCAAAGCAGACTCTAAATCCCCATTTGGACTAATGCAACACTTTGTGATTCTTAACCTTTTATACAAAAAGAGTTCTTTCCTTATATACATTCCAAGAACCAGGGTATCAAGGATAAAAATGTGCGGCTTATGTCAGACAAAAGAACAGTCTCCCATAAAAAAGGCGTCACGTTAGAGTTTAAAATGATCACTAGATGAATCTTCATTTTTTGGAGTCACTTTCCAAAAAGGACATCACAAGACTGAAGTCAAATAGACTCAGACATGGAGCTCTTGTTCCTCTTCTTGGAAGGAGCAAATCACACTTGAATCTATAGACTATGGAAGACAAAGCTAATAAAGATCATTGTCAAGTTTCCAAGGGGTAGGAGGCACAGTGTTTGCAATAGTTTGCATTTGGGAACAAATGTAATTTTGTAGATGGGCGAGGCTGTATTCTATTTAGAAGCTACTCTAGGAAACTACTAAGAAAGTTTCGGGGTGGGAAATTGGTGAATATCTACTCAGGTCTCACAAAAGAGCTAATGTATTATTAAAGCTAATGGGCCCCTACAAGGAAAGTTAATGGATATTAAGTTTGCTTAAATGAATTACATATTAACCAAGTCACAAGAAATCTACTATCTGCCAATTTAGATAATATCTGATCATTTCTGTTTTCCCATTATAGGGACATTACACCACAATAGTTTTAGTGATATGAAAATTATAAGCATGATGCCCATAATGAAGCTACATAATGAAGTAGAGGAAATGAATTAACAAGAAAAACCTGCCTTATGTAATGTTAAATTGAGCCCAGCTCACAGACTAAAGGAAGGGTGGGGTGGGGTGGTCTCTGAAAAGCAACTTTCTACACTTGATTGTAGCCAAAATTCCCACAAGTGATCAGAAGCAACTTTCCTTACCCCCCATTTTGCTCAGGCAATTTAGACAAACCCTAAAGGTCACAATGGGTTGAGACAGTGGCTCCCCAAAGATATGCTCACTTCCAAACCCCTGGAACATTGGAGTGTGACCTTATTTGGAAAAGGGTCTTTGCAAATATAATTAAGGGTCTTGAAAAGAGACTATTTTTGATGATATGTGAGGGCCCAAAGTCCAATGACAAATGACCAGATAAAAAAGACACATAGAGAAGAAGGAAAGGTCATGTCGAGACAGAGATAGAGATGAGACTGACTCGGGTACAGGCCAAGGAAAGTCTGGAGCCTCCAGAAATGAGAAAAGGAAGGCCCTCTCCTTGTCTCTGGAGAGAGGAGCTTTGCTAACACCTTGATTTTAGGTATCTGGCTTCCAAACACTGAAAAGAATAATTTTTGTTAGTTTAAGCCAACAACTCTGTGTTCATTTGTTATAGCAGCCCCCGAAAACAAATACAGGGGTTCAGTGAGGGTTGTGCTGCACCTGCCAGACACTCAGTCGTTACCATTGCAATCAAACCCCTAACTCCAGCACATTCAACCCCCAGGGCCCTTCGAGAAGCCTGCTGGTGAAAAGTCAGCAGCTAGCTACCTTCGTGCAAGGATGGCTTTGTGGAGAAAACATATATTTTCTCCCAGGTAGAAGAGTCCAGAAGAGAATTCTAGAGAGCTGTTAGTCCACAAAGCACAGTGAGGAGACAATCTCACTCGACAGTATCTTAATTTTATGGGGGAAATCACAATACTTGTGGCACTGATCCCAAAGAGCTCCACTTCCAAACTCATTCTTATAATTTAAGCTAAAAATGGAAGAGAACGTGAAATTTAAAACAAAGTACTGCTGCTGATTGGGAATAAAAACACTTTTATAAAAATTCAGTACTTACGATGAGGTTAAAGAAGTGGGGGGAATTACCCTGAATTCTGAAGTTGGCACAGAAATCATTACAATCCATATTTACCAAATTTAATTAAGTTGTGTGCTAGAGCAGATTGGAATCATTTTAAAGGTTTACATTTGGGTTAAACGCAGTATTTTCAAAATCCTCATTGGCACTCTGTAATATGGCAATGTTTCAGGAAAATAATCCTTTGATTACTTTTCTACCAAGACAACAAGATAAAAATTCTATCTCTACTATAGAAAACATAGGTATTCAAGAAATGGCTTCGTTTAAGCAACCGCTCCTATATGCCCTCAGCATAAACTACTGCTATGGTTTGGACAGTTGTGTCTCCCCAAAGGTCCTTCCTTGAGAAGCTAATCCCTGATATGATGGTGTTGGGAGGTGGGGCCTGAGGTTAGGATGGTGGGGTCCTCCTGCATGCTCTTATAAAACAGGTTCCAGAGACCTCCCTCGCTGCTTCTGCTGAGTGAGGACAGAGAGACATCATTGGCTATGAGGGTTCCCTAGGCTCTGACCAAGTGGGCACCTTGATCTTGAATGTCCCAGACTCCAGAACTGTAAGAAATAAATTTCTGCCATTCATATGCTACTCAGTGTGTGGTGTTTCGTTACAGTTTCCTGGGTGGGCTAAGACAGGTACTCACACTGTACTTCTAGGTACCGCTGGGTCTGCAAGTTTCCAGTGACGGCGGGGTGCTCCACCTGGCAGATCACCGGGACCCCATCGTCCTCCTTGTTCACCTTCAGCATCAGCTGACTGGTCACAGTGTACATGTCTGACCACTCCTCCACCTCCGATTTGCCTGTGGGTACAGTGTAGCAAGAAACCAGAGTTGAGTGTATTTTTCTCACAGTTTTCATGCCCTCTCCACTCCCGGTGTTGCTATTACCAAAAAAAAAAAAAAAAAAAAAAACCCAAAAAACTTTGTTATTATTACTTAATGTTTTACCTTTTGACAATATAATTTTGGCTATATGTTTGCACCTCTATACATGCGTGTTCTACCCAGAGTCCATCAAGCCACCTGTGCCAACATTCTATCTCCTCCCTCCGCTGCCCCCGCACCCCCTGCCCGTTCTCTCTGGTAACCAGTGAATTTTTTTTCACCAAGTCCAGCATTGCTATTTTAACAAATAGGATGGCAGTCACTGGGGATGTGGGTAATCTATGGGTAGGTATTTGAGAAACTGGTAATTTCCTACTTGCAGGATAGTATTTAACATTAAAAATAATCCCACATAATGTATATGATCTTTATTTAAGTATACGATGCATAGCCCTTCTATCCTCCCACAAAAAAGCAGCTGAAAACTGAGCCACCCTGACATCTGACTGTTTAAGGCATTCAGGAGGAAAGGAGAGAGGCGGTCACCCCTATAACCATCTGAACTGGAAGCATCCACCAGGCTGCCATGTGGTTCAAAAATTCCAGGCCATCATCCAAAACCCCGAAGTAATTCAATCAGTAGGAGATGTCAATGGCCCCCTTCGCCCACCCCCATTAGTGACAATTAAGAGGGAAAGTAAATGGATTTACATAATTGAAATTGTGATTGAAATGTTTAAACTCTGAGAATGTTGGAAGACCACAAAAAAATCACAGTGGCAGTGGGTAGAGCAAAGTAAGATATAGGCTTCAGGCCAGATGGGAGACGTGTCCAAGAACACCCAGAAAAGGAGGGGGGAGGCTTCCGGATGGATGAATAGGCCAAGACGGCCCCTTTTCTGAACGCAGCACTCCCTGGGACACGGTGCACCAGTAACTTTCTTTTAATGTTTTGTACTTATCGGTACACATTTAATGGCTCAATTCACTTGGACAGAAAAGCAGAGGGGAAATGAGAAACTCCTTCCTTCCAAAAGCATACCTAGGAAATAGATTAAAACAGAGCAAGCTTTTTGACATTTAAGCTGTTATATATAGATTTAAGTGCTTCTAGATATAGGTTTTTATATCTCCTTTCTAAAAGGACTTGTTCTCTTCTTCCTGGAATTCTCTTTACTCATTTAACAGAAACATACAGAACACTTACCTTGGCCCAGGAACTAGCTAGCTATGTGCTTTACAAATATTTACTCGTTTTGTCTTGTAAGATTTCCAGAGAGTATGTAATGTTAACATGCCCATTTTAGAGAAACTGAGGCACACAGCTAGCACTTCTGTCAAATGAGAGTTCAGCCTTGGAACCGTTTGTCCAGGGAAGCACTTGAAGGCAACCTTAAAATGGAAGGAATCAGAATGCTGATGTGCATGAGCCCTTAGGGTAAGTGACAAAAAAGGTCCATTGGGGGAAGGCTGATGCTTTTTAATTCAGCAATCAAAAAAGATAAACTCATGCCATTCGTAGCAACATGGATAGAGCTAGAAGGGATCATGCTCAGTGAAATAAGCCAGAAGGAAAAAGAAAAATATCAAATAGTTTCACTTATACGAGAAATATAGGGGAACCAAATAAGGGATCAGAAAAAAAAATAACAACAATAACAATAACAAAACAGCAAAAGTAGCAGGCAACCCCAAATCAGAGACATTCTGCAAGGGAAGGGGTGGAAAAGGAATCAAAACAGGGGAGAGAAGAGCACAAGGGACTTTGGTGATGGTTCACGGGTGAACTGGTGGTGGGAATTTTATGGGGAATACACATGACGTAAAAGATATAAATAAAATAAGAATAAATCTTAAACAAAGGGTCCATTGGGCTAAGACTGATGCTTTAGCCAATGCAATGGCTCATTGTGGCCTATATTTGGGTATCCAAGGAATCAAACCTGGGATGGCCCAGCACTGAGGGAGAGATGAGAGAGAAGGGTTGAAGGCGCTGCCTGTGTAGCCATCACAAAACCAAAACTTTGCAGAAGAACAGGCTGGTGAAACAGCAACTGAATGACAGGTTTCACAAGAAAGGTGGTCCCTAAAATTCACAGTTATAATTCTTGGTTGACGTAGAACAATCCTTGCAGGAAAACACAGAGTCACCACAGCAGACAGCACGGCAGATGTTAGTAAAGGCCTGGGATTCACCACGGCAGAGACGGTGATTTATGTCCTCAGTATATAACAAGAGAATCTGGAGTTCGGAGCCACTGTGGGTCATGGGTAGAAGCACTAGGAACTGAGGATACACACAGACAAGAGGACACCCTTGGCAGTTTTTCCTGGTCTAAGGACCTCTAGCTGTCAGGGATAGTTCTTGCTGAACATTTGAGGAACAATCCAGCAACACAGAGATAACCATGAACCCTCAAATCAGAGAAAAAGGGTATGAATGAGAAGAATAAAATGCTGGGCGTGCTTACAGTGGTTGATTATAAACCACATCTAAGTGGATGTTTCTGTTTCAGAGGCGAGGTTTGCAGTTACCTTCCACAAAGGCACACCCTGTAGAATCAGGGGCTGGTGGGGACTTCCCTGCAGGGTAACCTGCATCTTACCTTTTAGCTCCTTGTTCCCTTTGAACCATCTGATGGTCGTGGCTGGCTTGCTGGCCATGGCAGTGCAGTTGACCTCAATCTCTTCGCCTTCCACCGCAGTGTCTTTCTGGATATCGATCATCAGGTTGCGTGGGGGGACTGTAAAGTAAACACGTGTGCTTTTAAACAGAGATCTATTTCTGGGCATGCCTCCCCAGTCGTGAGGAACTTGCACTAGCACTCTCGAGAGGGAGACAAACATGGGGCGCTGCTAATGGGGATTTAAAACAAACTGTCACTGAAGGGAACAAAGAAGAAACACAAAAGCAGCATCAAATCAAGTCAATTATGCAAAAATCACTTAATTTAGAATTTCTCTCCCAAAGATTTCTATAAAATGACCGGCCTCAGTAACCAAGTTATAACAATATGGATGTTAAGACTAGTCACTAGAAAACTGACTGAAAAGGAGATCTAGGAATAAACAGAGTCCACACTATTAAATTATCATCCTTACCTGGAAGTCACTGAAAGGAGTATTTCACACTGATCTCAACCTTTCAATTTCAAATCTTCCTATGAAAGATTCCAAAGTCAACCAGCAAAGATCAAAAACTTGGAGTCCCTTAAAAGAATCACTCACCATAAACACACACAGAAAATTGTGCCTCAGAACCAGTTCCATTCAATTAAAATGATTCAGAGATCCAGAAGACTCTCATGACCTGCAATGAATGGATCAGTAACAAAACCCTTTGGATATGGCCATGAAATAATAGGAAATGCCAGTTAATTTACAGCAATTTTCCACAGGCAGAAATCCCAAGCTCAGGATTTTGAAGATTCAAGGTGAAAGTTATTATCAAGAACTTACATGAAAGTTTCTATACCAGAATTAAAAACACCCTTTTCACATGTAATAAGATGGTCGGAATAAAATATGTTGGGGCTGAAATGCCAAATAGCAAAACAAAGTACATAGCGTGATGGGGATGATGATGAAGAGAGTACGTTATCTTTTATGAAACTGAGTTGACAAGGTAGATTTCATGTGAGGTGCATCCATATCCCGAGGCTTCTTGAAATAAAAATCAGTGAGAATACTGAATTCAGCAGAGTGAAATTAAGAACATATGCCCTGACCACCATGAATAAGCAAAGACAGTTCTGAGACTTGTGATTAATAAGTTTCTCAACTCAGAAGAGAAACAAGAAATTAAATATGTAGCAACATGCCATCCTGATGATCAAGTTGAATAATAAATCTCTGATACTGCTTCAATAAATTATGGGATTAAAACCACGTATTTGGGGTTTCCAACTGTTCTAGTCCAATGTGAAAATTCTGCTGCCAGGAAGAATTTTACACAGAATTGAAGCAGTTGAAAATTCGCAGAGAAGGTTATGGAAAAGGAAAACGATTTGTTGCATAGGTCTCTCAGCAAGCCACTGAGGTGGGGGGTGGGGTGGACTGGACCGGAGCAAAAGCAGACTGCTGCTTTGTTTGCCGAGGAAAAGGAAAACATCCCATTTGCTCAATTGGATGTGTTGCTAAAGTGATATGGCCCAAATGAGTAGTTAAACATGGCAAAGAACTACCCTAGCTTACATTTTAAGAAAAAATAAGCATAAAGAGAGATAGTCTAACATCCAATTTGGAGCTGCACATCTGCCAGCTTTCGAAGACACACAGAAAGGCGGTGACAAAAGTAAATAGGACAACTTCAGCTAGCTATTTCCTTAATGTAGTTTATCTGAGCTAGATGACAATCAGGAAGTTATACATTTTCATCACATGTAGCCAGATGGCCGATAGGGAATCCACAGAGAGACTACATGTTTAGGGGCAACAAATACTACTGAATTCTGAGTGCGGTAGGAATATTGAACAGGAATACTGAAATCATGCTATTGTGAGAGCAAATGTCAGAAGACTGACATTTCCTGACCCTAAGGAAGTAAGATACTGGTGAGCGACAAGAAACAGAATAAGAGGGGGTGAAAAGGAAACTCCTGTCTTCCTAATTAAGGTAGGGTTGAAGGTCAAATAATCTCTTTCAAAGTCCAGCAAAAATTAAAATAGTGATGAAAATATTTTCTGATGTTGTATTTGCAAAGGATTCCCCATGAAAAATGGAACTGAGGGGTTACCCCTCAGTTGAAAGATAATTCAAATCGAGCACAGGGAACTCCAGTTAAGGAGGGTGGCTCTCAGGACGGGACAAAGACAGCAAGTAGCCAAAGCCACCGAATACACAAAGCGCTCTCCTGGAAATTACTACAGCATGGAGTAGACGAAAGTCCAGTTTGCATGGGCAGTCTGAGGAAATGCCTCCAGGGTTATTCTGTGGCACCCTGGGAATCTTCTCCATGAGCAGACCCAGGAGTGGTTAAAAGGTATGGATCACTGCCAAGTCTCTGTGGCTTTTAGCCTCCAACACAGTCTCTGTCAGAGATTTCTTTTCTGTGTCACCCTGAATATCTTTCCATCATTTTCACCTTTTTTCACGCTGAACCTGAAGACACCTTTGCCCTCCTCATCACTGACCACTCCTAACCTCCTCCAGCTGTTCATCACCAGTGGTATTTCTTAGGGGAAGAAGTATTTGTTTGCCGTTAAGGTGTAGATGAGATGGTCACAACAATGAGGGCATATTCTTTCCATGTTATCGATAATGTCTGCTGGTTCAAAGTAATAACATGGAACGGGGTGACTATAAATCAGGCTGGAGGAAAATGTCAACGTCCCTTAGCTTTTGGTTGGGGGCTGAGAGCATGACTGGCAGCAAACAGGTCCTGATCTGGGTGACCTGTGGTTTGGCAGCATCTTCGTCTATTGGAACAAGTAGCACCTCCTGAAGTTCCCTCACCTTCGAGAATGACTCCTCTATCAACCCCAACTCCTGGGAAAATCACCTTTAACTTTATGGTCAGGGTGACCATGGAGAAAACTTCAAGAATGCTGGGAACTATAAGCAGTGTGGAAAAATAAAGGAATTGTTTATTACCGAGAAGAGCATCCTGAGAAATACTTGAGTGTTTTTTTTTTCCAAGTCCACAGTTTTCTCAAGATTGTGAACAGTGTTTCTGATTTTTGCCAAGATTAGAAGACGCAACAGTCAAGGAGTGGGAGTTGTTTGGTTTGCAAATATAAAATAAATCTGAATGTGAGTCATAATGGTTGATATCACTTATAAAGCTGACTTCTCTCGGATGTTGTTTTAAAGAGAGAAAGCTTAGAAAAATATAAATGAGGTGATTTAAGTCTATCTGGAAAAAGGGTGGGGGATGGGTAAGAAAATCTTCAAGTTTATTTTTGTCTATTAATTCTATCCTCTTTCCTCTTTCATCTCATGTCTACTTTAATACAAAGGAGATTAGTAGAGTATAAAAATCCATTAAAGAGAAAAATGAATTAAAGCTGCCACTAACCAGAGAACACACTTCTATATGGTCCAATAAGACACTGATAGTAATAATGATAACTAATAAGACACATTAGTAAAAACTGTCTGAGCCATTAATGAAAATAACCCAAGATATATCTAAGGAGGGGTATATAGATGAAGACCTGACTGAAAATCACAGAGGGAAATCCTAGAAAACAGCAAAGAAATGTCAAGGTTCTTCTTAGCTAACCTCAAATCTATGAGTGCTAATTATAAATATTCCGCCTACAACATTAAAAAAAATCAGCAATATCAAGATGAGTCATGTTAATTACAACAAAAGAGGAGTCTTAAAGCTGATCAGTACGTGAAATCTTACTCTTAGACCCTTTAAAATAATTAGGTTCTCCTGTTCCTGGAATCTTAAGAGTGAACACTAATTTTCAAAGGACAAGACTGTAATAATATTAGCTACTATTATCAGTAACTACATTAATCTTAAAGAAGTGTATTCTCTCATTCATCTCTGCTCATGAATAGTAGTATATAAGAAGAGTCCTACAATGGAATTTGGAGAAACTCATCACAACTAGAAGGAATGAATACCTTAAAAGGAACCAAAATGATACAAAAATATTATAGGCGAGTTTTCAACTTGAGCATGGGTAAGATAACGTAATAGTAACTAACAAATACCCATCTCCATGTCTTATAATTATGCTGAAATTTTCACTGAATGCCTCAAACAACTAACAGACACATGCACTAAAATGAGCATCTTCAACCTATCAAGATGTTTGACAGCTATGTAAGTAAGTGCACGTGGAGTCCTTTTCACAGAACTGCAGATAGAAATGAAGATGCTAATAAATCGTTCTTCATTCGTTATAATATCTGAAAACTCTAAGCCCCAGGAAAAAGGTTTGAATATCTGAGTATCAGTGGAAATTGTGAGATTCTGGAATATGAAAGACTCAAACACTGATGACAACAATTTTACTCTGTCAAGGAATCCTAGAGTAAATTCAATGGAAAGAATATTAAATGAATGCATAATATCTGCAGAAAAAGAGTATCTGCTAGTATGACTTTCAAGTATATTTAAGTTAACGCTTCTATACAATACAGGCAGGAATCTATTACTTCTAGAATAATCAGACCTCCAAAAGGATTATAGGAATATTGCCTCTCAAAAGTCTAGTGCTGTCATGCTGACTGCCAAGCGCTGGGTATATTCAGTCAAACTGGCCTAATCCAAGGGTTCAAGAGAAGAAACTTATCACATCAGAATCTGACCCACAATAATTGGTTACCAATGGCCAGATATAATCCTGGAAACAAAAGGTGCATGTCTTCGGGGAAAAAAAGTATCCTGAAACAGCAGGATTCAAGGTATAATGGAAAAACCATCTGGATTGGAGGATACACAGGTGGTCCTGTGAGACAGGACATGGAAGTCTGTGATCCTTGATTCTCACTGTGTGCTTTTTAACCTAGGCACAATGACGGCCCTCTGTCATTATTCTCCCTTTCTGTGAAATAAAGCTACTCACACTTAATGGCATATGTAGTAAAACATTCCAGAAATTCAAAATGCCATGGTAGGTGCAATGTGATTGTTGTCCCTTTTGTGGGAAAGTGACAGGGTGGTGGGCAAACAGGTGAACAGTCAATGCGTGGTCTACGCAGCTAAGGACTTATTCCAATAAGAGTGTTTGCAAATACTTCTATACTAGCAGAAGGCCAGAAAACTTTAAACGCACGCCTGTGATATTGGTACAGCTGCAAAATACCAAAATAGTCATCCCAGCAAAACCTTCCATGCGATCTATTTACGCAGGTCTAATACGATCTCAGCGGCAGTTAGAGACAAGTGAGTCACCTAAAGGTGGTCCAGCATTAAACACAGACCATGGTAGAAACTGGATGGTCAGACTTCAAATGTGACTTCTTCCAATAGGACTTTCTCTTATCAACAACACAGATCTAAGTGTTAAGGACATGTTTTCATTTAATGAATTAAAAAATATTTTCCCTTTTACAGCTGTGTTTAAACAGAGTAATGAGGCAGCAGCTCAATATGTACATCCATAAATACATATATGTTCATACACACCAAGCAAAAACGTCCTTCATATTTATCTTTCCTCCTTAATCTTCATATCATTACACCGAAAAGCTGCAGTCTGCTGCCTCAAATAGACTTTGATTCATTATCTTCCCAAAGGTGTAAATCAGAGATCTCACTACAGTGTACGTCCTTGAAAACTCAGGTTCAAAAATCCCAATCAGCTGGCAATACCTGCAGTATGTTTGTCCAAAAGGTAACTAATTTAGGCCACCTTCAACACATGACTAATCTGCTGACTCTATAAACACGGAGACCTAGCTGCGAGGAGCTTGCTGAAAATCACAAGCTGGCGGTCATAAATGAAGACACTCAACTGACCAGAGGTGGACCCAGCAGCCTGTCAAGAGTCTTGTTTATTATCAGCTTTCTCTACCTGGAAGCAGCTCTTAATTCTCTTACGTCCAACTGCGGCAATTTGTGGCAAAGTGTGTGTTCAAGAGATGGGATTTTTGCAGCATAATCTAGAGTATAAGCAATAAACAAGGCAATAAGTGGAGCCAAAGAAAGAGAGATCAGCAATATTAAACGAGATGTAACTCAGAAGGAAAAAATCATTAAGCGGATTTCATCACAGACTCTGCCACAGGGTACAGATGTGGTAGCCCATCTCCCCCTGTCTCGCACAGAAGGGAAAAAAATCCCAGTAGTTAGAAGCAGTGACATTTCATGTGGTGAGTGATTCATTTGAGGGCTCTAAATTCTCTTGATCTTTGCTTCTGAAGCTTGAGGGTTGAAACCCAAGAGCAGGTGGAATCTATAAAGACTGCTGATTGCCATTCCTTAGAGTGTTTGGCAAAATAGGCTATTTTTAAAATTTAGCAAGATGGGCGGTGATTCTTCCCAGAACAAATTTGAGCAGTAAATCGTACCACAAACCTTTCCTTTGCTGCTGGAAGCCATGTGGTAGGGAGGGCCGTCCCTCCCGCCTCCCAGGACAAGCCCCCCGCACGATTCTTACCCAGCACTGTGATTGTGGTGTAACTTTCCTGGGGGGGGTCAGTGTAGAGCTGGCAAAAGTATCTTCCTTCATCAGAAATTGAGACATTTGTCAATGACACTTTGAGTTCGCTGCTAGAAAAATTCAGCAACTGAAACCTGCTGTCCTTCAAAGCTGTGAAACAAAACACCGAGTTAGTGGTTATGAGGAAGATCACAATGCTCTATTTTCCTTACCTAGGCGAGCTAAGTTGGGGGACGAGAGAGGCGGTGGCTTCAGAGAGGAAAGACTGATCAAGTCTTTCTGCACCTGTTGGGAACTCCTTTGTACCCTTCAATTTACTATTTTGGGGTTTTGTAATAACTGCGTGGAGACAAATGGCTCTGTCACACACACACACACACACAGAGCCGCAAGTCTAAATGCTGTCAGCCCTTACACATAAATTGTTTCAGATTTTCTGTTGGAGACAGATAAAATGAAAACAGGTCCTGAGTCCCCTTCAGGCACAGGATGTTCAGGGAATAGGACCTATATAGGTTTTTAAATTGCCCCCGAAATCCAAAGGTTTAACAACAAAATTTAGCAAGAACAACATACTTCTTGCATATCTTGTTCAACTAGAACTTAAAATATGTTTCACTGACCATTGTAAAACCAAGGACAATTTTATGTTTACAATGTTTTGTATATAGTTGTTACACTTTCTTTAAGATCTGAAAGAAATGAATCCTAGCTGGTTTTCTCTTCAAGGGTCTTGTTTAAAATGAAAAAAAAATAAATAAAATATCCTATATCAGTTTTTTCCCTGTCCATCTTCATTTTTCCAGAGTCCTACCAGTGATCACCTCCCAAATAAACTACTTGCACTCAAAAAAAAGAAGTGGTTCCAACTCATAAGAGAAAATCAGAAAGTCATTATTAGTAATTTCAAAAGCAAAGTGAAAAATTGTTAAAAATAAATTTGTAGCACAGATATCCAATTTAACTTTAAACTGGATATGAGTTGAGGTGGAGCAGCCCAGTGTTTCTGACCTAGGACTTACCCCTCAGGTCTTGTGGTTTCCAAATACATTCAGCTTTACAGCATGAAACTGATTAGGCATCAAACAGGAAATTAGCGTCACCACAAAAGTAATGTATGGGGGCTTTTTCTAGATTTTAAATATTCACTTTGGAAGTCCTACAATTATTTTGACACAGGCTAGATTAATTAATAATGACAAAAATACACTCAAATAAAGGGCCTCCCTGGTGGCGTGGCGCAGCGGTTGAGCTGGGCAAGGGTCCCACATGGCACACAGACCTCTCCTGCCGCCCGCTGCTCCCCTCAGCAGTGTATTTCATCAGTCTGCCTGTTCTGCTCCCCGCTCTGGATCTGGTGAATTCTCTCACCCTCCCGTGCTTCTGACTGTACCCAGTGCTTGTATGAATGAATAAAATAAATCTTTTAAAAAAAAATACACTCAAATAATGAGAAGCTGGCGTCTTTCCTTCTACCCTTCTTCATCCTCTTATATGCGCCTTAGGGTTATCACTCTTTCCATAGGTTGCGGGTATTCCGAGTTTCCTGGGGAGGTGGGGGCAAACAGATAGCAAGGGGCACGCTTGACACCTACTTGGGTTAGGCAACCATTTGAATCGTTTCTATGATAAACAATTAAGTTCTGATCATTGCCTTTTGTGACAACCGCAAAGATTTCAGCAGATGGACACACCTCCTTACACCGGAGGCTATGGAGAAAAGAGATTTGGTGGCCTTTATAGGCACAGATTGCCTTGGAAACTTTAATCTTCGAACCAAACAGATTACCTTTCAGAATGTTTTATTTTCCTTGCCTTCCCCCATTTGAGTTGTTTGTGTCAGCTAAGTATTTGGGACTCAATTGCAATTCACCTTGAATTACTACAATCAATTCCTATTGCAAAGTAAGTCTGCCTTACTTTTAAAAGAGACCATTCAAGGTTTCTATTAAGTGGAAAGATTATGATTGCATGTCTCTTCTTCCTTCTGAAGAATTGACTAAACTTTAAGCATCTAACATTAAATTTAAAAAAAAAGGAGACCTTGGCAATCTCTTTATCAAGACAACATGCAGGGGAAAAAAAAGTTGGCGGTCTACCACCACAGAGAAGGAAACTTACGCCTGAAGTCCCTGAAATAAATAGTCTGCCTGTTGGGATTCAGCAGTTGAATCACAGAGTCGTCGCTCTTATTGACTTGGCAGCTGATGGTTGCAACTTCTCCTTCAATCACTGTCACGTCTTTTGTAAACAAATTCTGTCCATCACCTTTAAAAAAGGAGAAAAACAGGTCAGAAAAAAACTTGCACCACTGAAAATTTGGTTAATGGGATCAGTTACAATGGGAAACCAGAAGCATATCAGAGAATGAACACCAGTAACCACACGTGGCCGAGCTCAAGTACCTTCGCCTATATTCTGCAAAACGACACTATTAATTCGAGAGATCTGGGGGCAAAATACAACTAAGCCTGGAATGGACATGCTCTGCAAGGCTGAGAGGCCAATGTTCCAGGCTCTGGTATTTGTTCTAGTTGAGTATGTGTGTTGGGGAGGTAGGGAAAGGTCAGAATGCTGATTTTTGTGAAGAGCTGCATGGAATGGGGGGGACACAGATACTCAACCTCAGCTCACATGCCCTTGAGTTAAGCTATTTGGTCACTGCACAGAGAACTTAAGGGGCCACTTAACAGAAGTAGGCAGGAGGGCTCAGCAAACAGCCCCGTCTCTGAGTGGATGCCGGAACTCCCGACACAGGCAGCTCAGTTGCTCACCGAGTGGAAGAGAGTACCCATCTGATTGTGACCCTTGGGGAGATCACAACAAAATCCTAGGAGAGCTGACGGTTCTGTTTGCTACTCTGCTTCATAAACTCATACCTACAAGACTCATGCCAAGCGTCAGGCAGTCCTGAGCCACGACCTTTCGGCTCACCACCCACTTTGAGCCATTTGGAACAAGCCAAGAAGTGGAGGCTGCGGTCCACTGAGAGAAGGCTTATCTCCAGATCTGCTCTGGCACATTGCTTCAAAGCTTAGGGACAGCAGCCAGGGCCCCTCATAAATGTCTTAAATGATTCACAGCAAAGGTAGGAGGAGGGAAGAATCCAATTCAAAAACAAAGGAGGAAGCAATTGTGGAAGGGTCATTTCTGCAGCTGGTGTGTCACAGGAGTTAGAAGTATATAGGACACTGTCCTTGAAGAAGCTGCGACGTGAGTGAAAACTGATACCTTGTCCCCACTCACAGAACGAGTATAAGAGAAGCAATGGTATAATGGTCAATCAAGGAAGGGAAGAGAAAGATTGCTTTTTAGCTGTATGATCTCAGGTAAATGATTTCAAGTCCCCAAGTTAGTCTCCCATCTGCAAAATGGGGAGAGTCATTAATAGGTAGCCACAGAGCTGTTGGGAGGACTAAGAAAGATAATAAACACAAAGCATTTAGCACTGTGTCTAATCTCATAAAACTGAATAAATGGTAGCCGCCATCCATCATCACCACCATCATCATCATCATCATCATTTCTCCAGATGCCAAATCTGAACATCTATGAAGTCACCCTGGTGCAGCTCACAGCCCCTGCTCACAAAGCTCTCCATAAAATTATATGGCAACTCAGGGTAGCAGATTCACCCCTGAAAATACCTCGGTCACAGTAAGCAACAAAGGTCAAAGATAAATACTATTAAAAAAAAGCGACAGCATAAATAGAGATGCAATTAGAGTACAAGGAGGATTTCCACCTGCTATCATATTTCTGCAGCAGGATTCTTTTTTTGGCAGGACACAGTGGGGAAGTGCGAGAAGGGGTGTTGAAAATGGTTTTAAGCCAAATCCACCTAGAAATAGACCAGCCTCTGGTAGAGGATTAGAAAAGAGGAAACTAGAGGGATAAGGAAAAAAATTATTAGAACCACAGATAAACAAAAATGCTTGGTGCTTGAGGAGCAGACCAAAATGAAACCCAACTCTGAGATCCCTGCTTCAGGGAATTAACCTGGGTGTGAGAATGCAGGGCTTTTACTGAGTGAAGGAGTTTCCCCTACTTTGATCCAGCAGGGAAAGCTCAGTGGACTGAACAGTATGATAGAACAACAAGAGAAAAAGTGATGAGGAAAAAAAACGAAAGGAAATTTTTCCCTTAGTGGATTACTGTGACACATAATCAGAACCCAGCAAGGGGAGCAGTTTCTTCCTAGATTTGAGATAAGAGCAAGGAAAGAGGAATTCCTGCTTATCAAGCAAGGTGGTTTCACAGGCCCTGGTTAAAGTATGTCCAGGAAGGACAGTATTCTTATTTCCTTAGGGTAACCCAGTCTAGTAAGAAAATTCAGGAAAAATTAAACCACACAATTCAAATGCTCTAACTGTCTGAAGTCATGGGACTTGCCTTGGGAGACTAGACTAGAATATCAAAGGGGTCTACTGGGTTGTGGAGAGATTGCTTCGAGCTCAAGGAAATTTATTAGCAACACAAATAAGTTCCAATTTATGAAAGGAACAAATGGAAAGGCAATGTGGTGACAGGTAGGCTTCCCTTCCACACAGGAGGCCTCACGGACCTGACTAATTCCTGCAGTGACGGGGCCTGAACACCAGCTACCCCTGGCTCATGCATTAGCAGACCAGTTCCTGTACACCTGACTATCCCTTTAATTTTATTATTTCTCAGAATATGGCTATGTTCTGGACAACACACTACATTCATGGAAAGCTATGAAATGCTTGCACAGGAGCTGGGAACAGAGGAACTGACATGGCTTTGTGAGTTGAAATGTGAAGGCAATAAAAAAAAAAAAAAACAGAATCAGAGGGTTATTGTGTTTCTTAAACATCCTTTATTGCTTACAGTAAGTACTATTAAGACCAGATCACACTGACGTATCATTATTGCCTAAATCTTTCAGGGAGAATCATGGCCACCTACAAATTCTGGCCCCTGCTGTGTCCTGGCATATGACTGCCCAGCATATCCAGGATGGTGTCACCATCATGACTGTATTGGTGTTTTGCAACTGCTAAGGCCAACCTAAAATCTAGTGGCTCAGAAAAATGCTAATTCCTACCTATGTTAATGTGGATACAATACTCATGCTAAAGAAATTGTAAGTGATAATGAAATATTTTGCTGAAAGATATCAAAGTGCCTTGGCTGATGGTGGCTGCCCACAGATGTCACTCTGTAAAAATCACCAATAAATTATATGGGTCAGCTAGAAAGCGGTTATATTAAACAGAGCTCCATACTTCGAGGTGCCAAAAGATGCCTGCAATGGAATAATAATGACCTATTTATTTGAGGCCAAGGGAGTGAATGACAGTGATGAAAATATGATATGTATGTCAGTATTCTTAACTGCCTGAAGCCTTTATGTAAAAATAATTTCTGCTCACATCCTCAAATATTTCTTCCAAACAGGAGAGTGCACTGTGACTTGATAAATTTCCCCTTGAAATAGATATCATGCCAATTAGGTTGTTACAAAACACAATTTGATGTGTAGCAGAAGGGATACAAACAGGCAACTTTGGTGCCTTTCTTAAGTAATCCATTTAAAAATCCTTTCCAATTCCCTAAAACTCAATTAGCAGATATACTGTCAAGGCAGAAATAGCACATGTTCGGAGCAAAAGAAATCAAGGAGGTACAATACTGTATCCATTCAATAAGGCTGTTAACAGCAAGGTAATTTATTTTAAGGGTGGAACAATGTCTGATGTCTATAGACATTTTTGACTGCTAATTGGTATATGTGGGTGAGGGTTAGGGGGCAGAACCAAGCTGGATTTTAATTTATACCAGCAACTGTACACCTTCTATCTGCCTTATTTTCCCCACAATCTCTAAATATAAAAACTCTGGTGTTAGGCCTATTTACTCACAAGCAAGTCTTCCATGGTAAACTAGAAGTTGCTAGGCTATTCATTACAAGAATGAGAAACTTGATTATCGCAAAAAAAAAAAAAAAAAAGAAGAAGATACAAATTATTTTGCTGATTAGTAATGACCATTTCCGCTAGCTTGGTTAAGGCTGGCGCTGGAGCTGGAGTGGGGTGCAGTAGTCTCATAAATCCCCCTTTAATTCAATCTTCAATTAGCTTAGCTCATGGATTCTATCCTGAAACCTCATTTTGTGATCAACTCTATTTGAATACCATTACACAAAAAACACTAGCATTGACTGGAATCTATTCAGTCAACGGCAAGGCTACCTGAGGGGGGCCACAGGGCAAATCTTCTAGGGAAACCAGAAATCAGAAATGACACCTCACAGCGGGCACAGAGAAGGGGCACCCCGTGTCCAGCGCTGGGCAGTGTGCTGATTGCTGGTGCGCTGTTTCCTCCCACAGTCCTGTTTTCAACAGCCTACTTTAAAGATTTAGAACCCGAGGACACAGAGCAATGGAAATAAGTGGCTGAGCTGGTGTTTGAACCCAGTTCTGTCAGCTTCTCCAGCCCCATACAGCTTGTACTTTTGAAGCAGCCAACACCAGGATTTGTTGCCAAGGTTCTACTGGCTCTGCCTTGGAAAATTTACTTGTTTTTAAAGAGGGTTATTTCCCTATGAGCAACTTCTGGTTGGGTTTTTTTTTTTTTTATTTCCATAATTTATCCAGAACACAATTACACACTTCAAGACGAGAGAGGAAGTGTCCTGAATGTAAAACACCTTGTTTACTACCGATTCCTTCTCTGCGCTCAGCACACTTTGCCCCCCGAGAACGCCTTTATTACCAGCACAGGACGGGCATTTGCCAGCACAGAGCGCTCGGCCCTGTTGCCTGGCTGTTAATAAATAAAGCACTTCATTTACACTGGGGGAGTCTCTCCAGTCAAGTCTATAATAAAAGGGCAAGTCAGAGGTAGCAGAGAATTCCGTTTATGCTATGGCAACTATGTAAACTCTTACTGACACCCAGGAGCTTCAGTGACTCTTAACTGGGAAGACAGTTTGCCCAGAGAAGAAAGCAAATAAAGTCCCCTGACCTACTCCTTTAGTAGCAAAATCATATCAGGGAAATGCTTTTTCCCCTCCTCCCTCAGCAGTGTGGAAGACTGAACCTAACAAGAATTCAGCACAGTCAGGTTGTCTAAACAGGCAAAAGTCAAACCCAAACACGGCGTGTCCAAAAAAACCCTGCTGTTGATCGATGTGGTCGATAATTTTTAAAAGGCACTATAGTTCTTGAAATCTTGCACAAAGTCTTGCACTCAGGAATGGTGAATTCTTTCCTTCCATGAAAGGGATCTAAGTTTAGACTTTC